ATCTGTAGAAACCATAACTTCTCAAAATATATGGGCCATAGGGGCAGCGGTTTTCTCCCCGCAGTTGCAGGCCGAGTTTATGTACAAACTCTCTTCTTATACTTCCGTTTTCTCAGCTGAAGCCTACGCTATATACAACGCTATAACCATATCTATCGACCTACACTTGCGTAAAGTCACGATTGTTACCGATTCCCGCAGCGTTCTTGAGGCCGTTAAAGGAACGTGCACCCGCACCAATAATTACCTCATACCTCGCCTCTCATCATGCCTCTTATCAGGGCGCGACTCGAGGAGGCTGAGAACGAGGGCACGCGTATTCAATTCATTTGGGTTCCTTCACATCGCGGCATCACCGGCAATGAAAAAGCCGATCAGTTGGCTAAGAGAGCGATTCGCCATGGCATCGAACTAATTTCAAAGTGCCTTATTCGGACCTGTGTGCCGTTATCAAACAACAAATCACGAATGATTTCTACCAACAACTTGAAGCTACCGCTGATATCAAGGGCACTTACTTCTTTAACTTCATCTTTCAAAAATCCTCGAAACCTTGGTACTTTCGCAAAAAAAATCTCTAGAGAGGCTATTGTCATGATTAGTCGTTTGCGCTCGAATCATTACAATCTCAATTCTAGTCTTTACCGCAAGAATCTCATAGACGACCCCTCCTGTTTATGTGGCTCACCGCAACAGGATATTATACATTTAATTTATGAGTGTCCGGACACTTTTAATAACGCACGTTACTTGCGACGCATTATTGATCGTATCTCTAACCACGGAGATAAATTAACTAAGTGTTCTCGCATGCTATTTCTAACCCAACAGAAGTTTTATGTCGCCTTATTCTTATCTTTAGTAAAGCTTGCAACAGGCATTTCTGAATTCACATTTTCGCGCCTCCTGGCATCCCGCGCACGCGCCTTTCCTCGTCTTTTTCCTCCCCTTCCCATCCTAGCGCAGCTTATAGCTCCGCTCGACACTCGGCGTGCTGACGCGTGGTTGCCTGGGGAGTACATTTCACTCCCAGTAGCGCGCTCCGATTTTCTATGGCAAATGCCAATATATCTAAGTGTTACAATTTTATTAAAGTCTAACATTCAAAACGTGATCTGGCCGTATCGACCTCCTATTGGTTGTTTGGAGGCGTGAGCCATAAATTAAGAAGAAGAAGAAGAAGAAGAAGTCGTCAATTCATATAACATTAATTTGCTCGCGTTTGATTCCAATAGATTTCTTTTTTTTAGGCTTCAAATCGTTCTAAGGGAGTATTATTCCATATTATCTGGATTGTTATCGGAATTACTGATAATTACTGAGTTATCATTTTATGATCTATACTTACCTACTAGGACTACGTAAACAAAAATGGTAAGCACAATCATGTTTCATTGCTTGATGAGTCCTTTATTTCTTCTAAACGTTAGACTTTATTGAACTATGTACTTAGTTATCATACAATTGTGTCACTGTTTATAAAAAATATTGTTATTGTATAAAATGTTACGTCTGTATTGTGTTATGGATATAATTTTAAAAAAGCCGCTTTTCTCAAATTACTGGGGAAAAAACGGAAAAATTTCGGTTTTATTCCGAAAAATTGGTTTTTTGGAAAAATTGCTGTTTTTGTTACGTAAAAGATAAGTAACTTCTAAATTCTTTATAAAATTAATACGATCTACGAAATTATGTAGCATTATTTTTGTTAAAATTTTTTAGTTATATCCTTCTATTTTCATAGTAAAACCTAATTTAACCTTCCTTTAGTACATTACATGGCAAAGCTTAAGTAGACAGATTTTTAACTCTAGTTTGCCACACTCCAGTCTAATGAACTCTTGAAGTGTCTCTTTGTAGTTTTTTTTTTTTTTTTCAAATATTTTGTTACGAATTCAGTTTAAATCCAAATTATTTTCTAGACATATTATTATCATATAAACATGATATTTGGACTCTATATTTTTAATTCTTACATTAATGGTACAATAGTATGTTTTGTGTTTTATTGAATACATTGTGCGACTCAGATCTTTTATACAATTTCAAAATTTCTGTTAACTTATCCTGCTGTGTACCCTGTACTCAATTATTTTCTTTACGGAAAAAACCGAGAAGCAAACGTGGTAGGTTTTAAGAGCATGCGTGAATTTTTCTACCTTTGGGGAAAAAAATCAAAAAATCCGTGGAAAAATGGGAAAAATTGGGTTTTTCCGATCCTTTAAAACTATAGTTATGAAATCCTAACAATGATGGAATTCAAAGTGTATCATTTAGAAATCATACAGAAATTTCCAATTATTTGTGAAATTTCTGTATTTGCAAGTAGATTACTATGATATGATTTAAAAGACACAGGATGCATAAATATGGTAAATTTCAATAAACTTACGAGAAATGCTTAAAATATGATTTGCAGTAATGTCAATATTGAGGATTGCTTCTATGGTCAATTATTTATATCGATCTGAACAAAATTCAAGTAATAATATGCTCGTTTTTTAAATCGATAATCATATTTATTTAAAGAAAATTTAAGAAAAATGAATTATTAAATCATTCGATAGACATGGAATTAATTATTTATAGAGGAAATAAATATTTGTACATGATACATCAACAGTGATAATCTCTTTTGTAAATAAAATAAAATTTTCTCCTATAGTAATTCTTATATAATTTTTTTTATATGTAATAATTCTTATATAATAAAACCATTATATTCTAGATTTTTATTTATTGACTTTTTCTATAGGTATATAATTCTAATTATATATAATAATTATTGATAGGCAAAGAAGATATAGCCATTTATTGTATATTATGTATTATGTATAATTAGGATAAATTTAATTTATACAATATTATATATTGTATTGACTATTATTGATTATAATGAATATCTTCTAATTATAATATCTTTATAACATTACAAAATTTATAGTTTTCCTGCTTCTTTATCATTTTTTATGTAAATAATATGGCAATGAAAAATTTAATCGATTAATATTTAGATGTCTTTATTATATGTAATTAATAACACTGTCCGACAAATATAAACTCTTTCTAGATTACGAATGGGACATAGTGATTTTTACACATGTTTTGTCACTGAAAATGAATTCGTCAATGAATCTAGAGACGGTAGTGTCTCGGCGCTAAGCATGGCACGAGACACTCCTTTATGCGAACCAGTTCAAAATTTCATAAAAAAAAACGTAATTCTCATCATTAATACACTATTACACAAAACGATTTTCCATTAGAATTGATTTCCAAAAATATAACGAGGACGATTAATACAGTAATAAATAAGGAAATTCCAAAATCATTTGGTAATGACATTAATCGTGGTTCAAGTGATAACATAAAATGATTTACTATACCGTATGTATATGGCATTTCAGAAAAATTCAGGAGCATTATCAATGGTGCAAATCAGAATATCGCATTTTTTAGCATTACTATAAACTACGCAAATTTATCGAAATATATAAGGTTCCATGAATTAAAAAAGAACGTGGTGTATAAAATTAGCTGTAGAGATTATGATGCAACTTATCTAGGACAAACTAGCAGAAAATTAAAAATGCGAGTGAAAAAACATTGCAGTCATATGCATGGAATACTTTCACTAACTTTGTAATTACAAAACCGTAGGTTGCATCGCAATCATGAATTCAATTGGGACAATGTTGGAATTTTGGATGTCGATAATTTTTATTACAAAAGTTTGATTTCACAGATGCTTCCAATGAAATCTCAGAATAATGGTTTGAATTTACAAACAGACACAGAAGATCTAGATTATGCCGATATTTTAGAGAAATTGATAAACAATAATTTGATCTGGATGCCTCTTTTCATTTCAATCATGATAGATTATGTTTCACTTGATCATTGAACGTCATTTATAGATTAATTTTCAGCAACTAACAATTTGTAATAATTACTTTGTCATATGGTTTAAAAGCCGAGTCGGACAGTGTCATTGGTAATGTTTATTAAGTTTACATTATTATTTACTTTTATTTTGTTTTAGTCTCATACAATACTATTAGTACAACCTGGTGTCAGGCCTGAAACAAGAACATATTCTGATTATGAAAGCATTAATGAATGTATGGAAGGTAATTTTAATTATAATTTATGGTAATATTATATTATAAATTTAAGTTATATATAAATTTTAATAACAGCTATTAATGCTCTTTTTAATTGTGCATGTTATATGAAATTGTAATTTTTTATGAAAATAAGATTGCATTAAGCAGCATAAAATCAATCGATTTTATACCTTATTATATCTATGAGAGAAATATAGAACATAAATAATAAAATAGAATTTATACAGGATGTCTGGTAATTCTGCTGACAACGCTCGTAAGCAGGTAGAGCAGACTAAACTGAGTCGGAAAGTCCTCTACTATTTTACAACAATAGTGAACGAGATATAAAATAATTTAATAATAGTAATTTAATATTAATTTAATATGTATTTGAATAATTTTTTAGAAATATTAATTTCTAAAGATTGCCGAATAAGCGCATATCCGCCCAGCTGTACCACCAAATGCACGCCCATCGGTCGTGATCGCTAAGCGCGTGGTTCTGTAGGGAGTTGTTTATTATAAACAACAGTTACACACGGCGGCGAAAGAAAACAATTCCTCACGCGTCTAGCGATCACGACCGGGTGTATATCAATTGCACACCGAGTCAATTGTGCACAAGCCAATCACGGCGCTAGAAAAAAATAATCCCTACGCAAAAATTGCTGTGATTAGCAGTGAGCAATTGCACCAATGTACAAGTGAACTACTCCCCCACGACCGATGGACGTGTATTTGACGGTATGGCCGGACAAATACGCTCTTATTCGGCGATCTTTAGAAATTAATGTCTCGTTAACTATTGTGAAAATTGCAAAATGGTACAGAACTTTTCGACTCAGTTTAATCCGTTCCATCTGCCCACGAACGTTGTCAACAGAATTCCAGTATATTAAACTAGATATCCTGTATATTAAAAATACATACACATGCGCACGCAAGCATAATGCTGATTCTACATTAATCGCTTCACAATATTGCAAGCGTTGCGGTCCAATCAACGTCAAGTTAGTTTGACTCAGTTTGGATGTTACACGGTTAATAATACTGTCAGTATTAATAAATACTGACAATATTACTTTGTGTGTGGTTGACATTAATAGATTGACATAGAATACAGTGATCTGGATTTTGATTCTCGTGCATCATTATCGCTTTATTAAAATCCATGGCTGCGTTCAGCGGAAAAAGCAGCTTTGCAACTATAAAATTGGGCGCGTTTAAGCCGGACAAAGTAGCTAGTCTGCTTGCTGAGCGATTGAATGTGATTGATTGGATCTATAAGTAACAACCAATAGGCTAGCCGCTTTGCCGACTTGAACGCACTCATTCTTTAATATGATTGGTCTTGCCCTTAGTTCCTCACTGAATTTAAATGTATAAACCAATTATATTCAAGAATTTTACAACAGTTGCAAAACTGCTGAACTTAGTCCATATCACAATATGCACCATGCAACAGATAATGTATGTAAAACTAAAGTGAAACATATTGTTAATAATACTGATCGTGTAAGGTTGTAAAAATACCAAAAATATTGATGTATACTGGCAGCATTACTGATTCAATATTACTGATTAATGTTATTAACCATGTAGGGTCATCTTTATATATATACACACGTACCTACGTGCAAACACACACAAAAGAGAATGATGTGATTGATTTTCTATATATTATACAGGCCGGATCATAAATATATTTAAAAAATGTTATAAGTGTGATCCTTAAAAAGAAAGTACAGATGTTCCTATGAGGAAATGTATCAATTATGTGTACGTCGTGCTAATGCATATGTGAAAAATGATGTTGAACACTGAACATAAAAAAAGCTCACTTGACTCTTATAAATAAAGTCACTATTTAATACTACTGTATTTGTGTCCGTTATTTTAACAACGAAGCATTTATGACCTAATATTTAGAGGAGCATTTGTTCTTTTTTATCCAATAATATGAAATTTTAAAACATACTTATGATTCACCCTGTAATTTGTTAATCATTACGTAAAATATATTCTATACATACACGCGTGCACGCATTTGTATTTTTATATTTTAATACTAATTACGAGTATTAATTATTTATTTATTATTGTAGGAGTTTGTAAAATTTATGAAGAACATCTAAAGAGACGAAATCCAAACACTCCAACTATTACTTATGACATTAGTCAATTATTTGATTTCGTTGATCAATTAACGGATTTATCCTGTCTTGTGTATCAAAAATCGACAAATACTTATGCTCCTTATAATAAGGATTGGATTAAAGAAAAGATATATGTTTTATTGCGTAGAGTTGCGGGACATGGAGAGTGATCAATACATATATATGTGTATATATATATATACGTGTGTTTTCATATATAAGATAATTTTAAATACTTTATTTGTTGTAATAAAGCTATAATTTACGATATCTTATATTATGATACAGTAATTATATTGTATACCTTTATCTTTTATTTATTTTATCCACTTTATAATTAATCTTTATGAGATAAAGTGGAGCTATTCCGTCAATTTCAACATACAGTGATATGAAAATTTGCAGTAAAATGTCTCACCCAATTAAATTTCAAATATAATCGATTTATTATTGAATATAATGTAAATTGAATATAATACAACCTAACCTCTTGTGTAAGCATAAAAATTAACATATAACAAAGAACAATATTACATAAATATCTAAACTGATAAAAGTGTCCATGTATCAAAACCGGTAGGATTCTTTCGCCCATTAAAGAGGATCTTAAAAAAAAAAAATTAATGTAAGAAAATAATTTACGATTATCAGAGGTAATTTTTACACTACTGTCCTAAAACTTTAATAAACGCTCAATATAATTTGCTTACAACTGTACATTACTCTCAAACACGATTGCTTCTTAAAAGTAAACACCTTAAAAGTAAACGACCTTTAAATATATGTTAATTAAAAACAAACGTTGACTGGAATAGCTCCATGGACAAAGAAAATCTCACCCTACCCTATATACAATATATTTATATTTTATACATTAAGGGCAGATCCTGGTTTATATAGAAACGGGGTAAATTCGAGGATTTTTTTAAAATAAAAGTACATAGGGATATATATTGTGACGACACAACTTCATCGCGTTTTCTCACAAAAATACAGAAGGATTAGGATCAAACCGAAGATTCCTCAAGATACAGAACTTTCTATCGCGACAGGCGAAACGGGTCGCTCAGCTATGTAATAGGTGGATGATCGCGTGAGTGGGGAAAATCAGAAGGCGAGAGAGATTGGAGATATCAATCATACAAAATTACATGTAACAAATAACAATAATGTATTTGAGAATTACGCGATACAATACGTCGATCATAACATACGAGTCGTGTAATACCAAACACGGCAACAGTGGCACATACAATGTAATGGCGAACACTCTACGCGCGAAAGAATATCAGAGTCGATGGAATATGAGCTCGCAAGAAAGTGAATAATTAAGTCTCACACAAACATATAGCTTTCGCACAGTCAGATAGATTCACAGACTCACGCTCTTAAAGATTATTTCTCGACTAAGTTTCTAGCGTGAACAAAAAGTTATCACGCGGTAAATGATCGTCTTGTCCTCAATGCATAACAAACAGAATAAGATAAACTCATCGCATGGACTACCGTTACGTAGTTAAAAGAAATGAATGACTTACTTATTGCATCATTATTTATATCTATATGTATATTTATTAATAATGAAAAATTATTTTTAAACTCTTCATGTTTGGCAAGTGGTAAGAATCGCTTCAAAACAAGCATAATCACTAAGTTTTGATTTTGTGGATAGATTTTTATTAAATATGTTTCTCTAATGTTTTCTTTTCATGTAATTTAACTATATAATTAGTTTTTTAAAAATTTAAAGTTTAAATTAAAAAAAAATTTATTTATACACAATTCTTTAAAACGGTTTTTTAGAGAGGGTTGCTTTTGCCTACAAATCG